TCACTGATGATGCAATTCATGTGAGGAATCTTGCAGAGCACCTCAGGCAAAAACATTAAGACCAGGATAGAAAACCTTATAAACTTGCATGACATAATTCCTTCTTTATATCACTTTCTTTGACTTCATTTTATCCCTTACTGAATTCTTTGCCAAATAGCATAGTCTGACTTGAATGGCCACTCTGTTGGTTTAGTTGGCCTTTATACTGAAATAAAAGTTTTAGCCAACACAGGTTCTTCAAGTCCAGCTTGGAATGGTACACCTTTGTCTTTGATTATAATTTTGTTAGAGGTACCTCACTTGTCTTGGGACTTGTAGAAGAAGCAAAAGTAATTGGGATTAATTTGATAATTACTTGAAAGGTAATTCATCTATTTAGAATTACAAGTTCTCTGAGATCTCACAGAAATATTTATTATGCCTCTATCTTCAAGTCTAGCTGGGAATTGCACACAGTTCAGTCTTGATTTGCAGTTTTGATGGTTATGGTCGCTCTCTTGAGACATAGTGAGAAGTAGGCTTTATATTAATTTGATAATCATAAGAAACATAACTCCCTGTTTAAAATTAGAGTTCTGCAATGAGATATCAAAGCAAGCATGTTTATTATACCTTAGCAAGGATCATTTCTATGCTGAAAAATAAGAGATAAGGAGCTGCAGTGGTCCCCAGAGAAAGGTAACAAAACAACATATGCTAAGTGAGAAACCTGCTTTCACGTTACATATTTAAAAAAGGTATTAAAGTTGTATTTGGAACTCTGTGTTATTTTTGGGGGTGGGGCCAGAATCCTTCAAACTCTGAAATGTGACAAACATGACAGAGGAAGCACAACCAAATATGGCCATAAACAATGGTGAATTAGTTTTCTGTAGAATCCTAACTTATGAGAAGGTTTTCTCATTCTTTCTTTTGAAATCCATCAACAAAGCCAGAACATGTTTTTCTTTTGGACAGCTCCCTTCCTCTTCCTTGTTTGTTTCAAATAAATCTGCTATGGAGCCAGCACAGTGATACATTAGCAACCATATGCTCAGGGCCTTTTTCACTACCAAGCTGAAATGCTACCCATCCCTCCTTGAGTTGGCAGAAAATTATGTCAGCATAACATTTGTTGTCCCCACTTCTGATCTTGTCCTGAATCTAGTCCCTCTGTTTTGGTTTGCCAATAAATGATAGTATCCTTATTCAGGTATGCAGACTGTATGGAGCACAGTGATTGATTAAATCCTCTGAATTTGCTGCCCTCCCATTCAGAATGTCTCCAGGATTCAGCAGGGATGGGACTGGTGGCTAATCTTGACAGATAGTTGGTACCAAGGCTGTCAAAGCAGGAGAAGGTGGGTCTCCTCACCAGCTCTGCAAACACTGTGCAGTTCTGAATGTTCACTAAATTGTCACTCATGAAGCAGGAGTGTGATTTCTTTCAAAACTGGGCATTTCTGCAAGTGTGCTC